CTGTCCCTCAGCTCTTCAGCTCAAGGCTAGCGCTCTACCACTTGAGCCACAGTGCCACTTCTGGCTTTTTTCTTTTAATGAGTACATTTCTTTCTTTCTTTCTTTCTTTCTTTCTTTCTTTCTTTCTTTCTTTCTTTCTTTCTTTCTTTCTTTCTTTCTTTCTTTCTGTTGAAGGGAAATTTTATAGTACAAGGCTCCTCCTATATCTTCCTTGCTTGATTGGCTTGTGCATGAGTCACCCAGGTTATTTTCAATGGTTGACTGGTTGTTCAAGGCATTATGAGAAGGAAACCATTTGAGCAGGAACCCAAAGCACTATAGGAATAAGAAAGTCCATGTCATTTATTATATCTGCCACATATTATATCCACCATTTTTTGTCCCTGTCTACCTAACAGTTCTGTTTTGATTCCCTCATCCCTTTCTTGGATGAAAACCCTCACTCTTGTTAGGAAACAGGGACAATGCAGCTCCAGGTAATTTTCCTGCTGAGTGAGGGCAGAGGAAGGATCTTGTAGATGAATGGGATATGGTTTTTGTGCTATTTCAGGGAACCATGGTAAAACTTTGAAGCCCATTTTATTTGAGGCTCCTTTCTAAGGCCATTTGTAGACCCTATGGATGCCAATCTACAAGAAACAAACTTCAGGAGCACATTGAGAATCCAAGAGCTAAATATGAACAGAATTATACCAGATAAAGGTCCTAGGAAAGTAGCACTCAAGACAAACTTCATTTCTCTTGAACAAAGGAACATCATTGACACCAAGTCATTGAAAGAAGGAAGATTTAGTGTCAATATTATATACCATTTCACATACCCACATTATTTTTCTACTTTAATTCTAAAAAGTATAATGAAAATCAGATTGCTTTTTACTACAATCATTAGCAGCATACTTCCATTCCATTCCATAGACAGTAAAGAAAACTGTAATCAGAAAGAGTAGAAAAGCAGACCTGTATGGAGTATATAAAGCTCTGGTCTCTTGTTTCCTCTTCTGTAAATAGGGAGATTGCATAGATGTTCTCCTTTTCCCTTGTAGTTCTAAAAAAGAAAGCAGTGTAAAGAATTTTTTGGCACTGATTTGTCTCTGAGATGATTGCTGAACTTAACTGACGAGCTGAGATTTCGTTGTGAGATTTTGAAATGTGCTTTGCTCAAAGTGTATTATCTGGAAGTTATCCCAGTTAAATTGGAGTGCTATTTTTCAAGGTGTCTGTTAAGTGAGCTACATTTAGGATTTTGTTTGATAATTACTGTTTCCTTTTTTGATTAATTCCTAGCTTCTTTAAGGTCCCTTTAGGTACTCATGATCTTCATCACTTTTGTAAATAAAAAATGACTTAATGACATGTATAATATCAAAGTGACATATTGAAACATGATCTAGATTAATTTTTAATGAGTCTCCAAAGGTTCCTCCTCAAACATTTGAGGTTATAGATGTTTGACCCATTTTGAGCATTTATAAACATAGTTATGAAATGTCACATAATTACACCTGTATAATTTACATAATATGCATATGTTAGTCCCTAATCTATGTATTTAATTTGAATTAGTGTTTCTTAATAAAGGTATATGGAATATGTATAAAACTATGTGTTTTTATGAAGTATTATGCCACCTTTTAGTTTAATCAATTTTAAAATACCTACACAATTAAATATTATTAGAAATATTTGTCATGCCAGGCAATTGCCTATAATCCTAGCTACTCAGAAAGCTGAGGTCTGCCGGGCACTGGTGGCTCACGCCTGTAATCCTAGCTACTCAGGAGGCTGAGATCTGAGGATAGCAGTTCAAAGCCAGCCCGGGCAGGAGAGACCGTGAGACTCCTATCTCCAATAAACCACCAGAAA